CCCCAAAACCCCAAAACCCCAAAACCCCTAATTTTATCACTAAAATTGACAACTAATTTCTTAAAGGAACTTATTGCGATGAGATCCTTTCTTAGACTTTACCTCTTTCACTTCGAATGTGTCTATCTTTCAGCCCAGCATGTCTTCGCATAGCTTCAATAAGTTATGGAATTTATCAGAATCTTGTGATGATTCCAACTTTAGAGAAGAAACTCTGCTATAATATAGGGTGGATAAGGTATGCATGATAAGAAAAACCAAAGAATATAGCTTACCTTCTTCTTGTAGTTTTCTTTGAGCTCTTTCTTCTTGAATTAGATCTAATTTTCTCCTTATAAGCCCCACTTTGCAAATCTTTAGCATACTCAGAGACCAGGTCTTTGAGATCTTTCAAATCCTGGCTGATTATTTCACTTTTAGAACTCTTATTAATAGTAGTGAAATTTCAACTTTTAAACTGATTTATTGTTTCTTTAGACTCTATAAATAAATATCATGAAAAGGTCTTACTATCTTCATTTTCAAAGTTATTTCTCAGCAAGACTGTTTCCTGAGTTTCCTTATGGTATTGGTTAGAAGTTTCATATCAAAGATTTTCAATATAGATAACATCTCCTTGTTTGAGAAACTTGCTTAAGATGAAGCAATTTGAATGAATATTCACACTCACAAGTGTTAATCAGCTGGTTATTATAATTAAGCTTCTTAGTTCTTTCTCCTTTGCTGAATTTCTAGGCTCATTTCATTGGAATATCTTAATAACTACTCCTGTGATATTAATAAATTTTGAAGGGGTGTATTCGAAGTCATTCTCCTCATGAAATGAAGCTTGACTACTTTTGAATTCAGGATAATACTCTTTAATCCCAAAGTCTTTAATATCCTCAGATTCACCACTTAGTTCAATTTTAGAAAGGGCGGAACTCTTATTCATCTTAAAAACTAGGTTATATGGATACGAATTAGCTCCATATTGATCAGAAATAAGATAATTTAAATCTAAAACATCTCCAGATTTGAGTTCATAAATCTTCTCTTCTGGCCAATCAGAGATTAAAACCAGCATTGTCTTTGGGTCTTCTACTTCCTGATCGCCAAAATTCTTCAAAATCAGCCCAAAGCAGGATCGAGCTGGGTCATATTTATGCTTCTCCTTAACAATTTGTTCAATTTCTTGAAGATTTAGGTCTGCATTTCTTTCACTGTTTTCTTCGAGACCTTGGATTTCATCATGAATTTTCGAATAAATATCAGACTGTATGAACTCATGAGTATTCCTGCTGTAGCTTCCTTTCATTCCGAAGTAGAATGTGGGCAGGATATCCAAGATTGTAGCTTTTAGGTTACAAGTAGCTCCACCTAATTGCTTGAGTGAGCCAATTGATTTGTAAAGAGCACCTTCTCATTCACCAATTTGATCATCCAGAGCTAAGATTTCACAAGAATTGTATCATAGCTTGAAAGTGTCTCTACTTTGAGCATTGACAACTGGATTTGTATACTCTTGTGCATTCTCAAGTGGAATATCTCAAGGAACAATGTTCTGACATTTTACTTTAGTTCCAACTTTGAATCTCCCTTCATGTATTTTAGACAAAAAGTACTGGTCATCAGGGAATTGTTTTGGCTTGAAAATTATGTTGATAGAATAGAAATAATCAGAAAGTCTAAGGATTGTCATTTCTTCATTTCAATGCTGGATATCAATAACCCATAAATTCATGCATTTGGATATGCATTCGTCCTTAACTAGGCATCTTGATAAAATTAGAGGTGCTAGTTTTCCTCTATTCATTTCATTTGAATGGCGGAGATAAATTTGAGTAAGGATATAGTCAAGAGAAAGATTTTCTGAAACTCTGAATATATGTTGAAGTTGGTTTACAATCCAATCTTCAGTAAGACTATCTTCATATTTGTATTCTTCTAATCACTGGATTATGACTTTGACAAGTTGGCTTCTCTCTAGATGAGATTTGGAGGATTGGTTCATTTCCAGCTCCCCTTTTCCTTGACAAATCAATCAATTAATAATGGCTTTGTCTGTTTTGAGGATATTAAGTCTGAAAATTAAAATTTAATCTTACCCTATTCTTCATATTCAAGTAGCTTTCATCTTCTGTTCTAGCAAATTTCAGACAGGATAATTGAACTCTGGGTGCTTGGGAGTGATTTCAGTCTCCTTTCAGTTGGATATGATATCTTTAAGGTTCGCAATTTTATAGATATTAACAATAGCCTCTGAGTTATCTTTAGATGTATTGCTCCTTTTCCCTTCATAAGATGAGTTATCCTCGTTTTCATCTATTTCCATCTTTCTCTTCTTTCCCAAAAGTGCAAAGCTAGCATCTTCATTGAGAACAGGCTTATTAACAAACTTAAAGTCATTTTGCTTTGCCTTTCTTCTCTTGTTCTTTGAAGAAGACTTTGAGCTAGGGCTTAATTTCTTTGGAGAAGCTTTACTATTGGCAGGCTCAAGAGTCTCTAGATCTTTTTGATCAACTTCTCCATCATATGGTTTCAAGTCATCATCAATTTCGTCGAATAGTTTGCTAACTTTCTCCATATTTAAAGCCTTTGCTCTAATCCTGACGTTTCCTCCACCAAAACAAAAATTACTCTCGACTCGAGCTGGAGTATCTTTCCCAACTCTGAAGGTGGTGCTACCCTTGACCACAGATGGCATATCTGGTTCTAAATCTATAGGCTCATCAGTGAATTCATTAGACTGAATCATTTTCTTATATTTCTCTTTCATAATAGTCTGCTCTTGTTCATCCCTTCTAAAATCGAAATTCTGTTTCTCTGACTTTTTGATAGATTTCACTGGGGTGATTCAAACCATAGAAGGATTTAGCACCTTATCTTTCTGTATGGCTCCTCATCCACAGCTGCAGTGCATTAGTTTATAGATAAGCTCTTGAATAATCTTATTCTTATCTTTGTTTTCATTCTGGAGCTCAAAAATTCTATTTCTCATTATTCTCAATACACATTTTCATCATACTCAGAGCGAGGTTGTCAATATCTTTATTACAAAGGAAGTTTTTCTGATTGCTCAGGCCAGATTTGCTCTCTGATTCCTCTTGAACGCTACTCAGCTTGGTGAATCCTTCAGGAGGCTTCAAGTACTGTTTCCTCGTTGGCGGAATGAAATCCTTCCTTCCACTCATATTTTCACCTCCTTCATTAGACTTGATGAAACTAGAATCTCTTTTGTATTTAGAACTAATGAGGTAATTATCATTCTGAGTAGGACTCATTATATCATAGAGTAGCTCTGAATCGATGTCTGAAGTCTCTTCAATGTCTCTGACTTTCTTATTGGGGTTCATTTTTATTTACGCGGAATTATACTTTCAATTTGGGAATAATTTTGGGGTTTTGGGGTTTTGGGGTTTTGGGGATTGGGGTTTTGGGGTTTTGGGGTTTTGGGG